AAAAAAAAAAAAAAACAATTTACTTTTGCAGCCAGAATAATGATGCGCCATACGTTCGTCCACCTGTTCTCCACGACTACAGTAGTGACGGTGATACTGAGGATGAATAACGTCCGGCTGGTGCAATTCATCAGATTTAAAATAATAATAATAATAATAATAATAATAATATTAATAATAATAAAACAAAGTATTGAAAGGGGGTGAATAAGCGTATGGTCATTTTCACAATTCTCTTTTTTCAATTAAAATTAATTCCTTTCTTCTGTTTTCTGAATCATTATAACATCTCCCAAGTCACATCAACTAAGACGTTTTATTATTTATTAACTTATTCGCTACAATGTATGAAAAAAGTTTGCAAGCTTTTGTTTATTAGTCTTCATTTGTTTTTGTTTTTTCCTTCATTTTATTTTATCATAACAATAGGGATTTGGGAAAATCTTACCGTTAAATAAAAATAATTGAGAAAAATAAAAAATAATAATGATTAAAGAGAAAGAGATACATTGAATTAGCTTAAATTAGATCGTGATATATATGGTACACAATTGTGTCCAGGATTTTACATTTTTTGAAAAAAATTTAATCTTTGAAAAAGAAAATGATCGATACGACAAGAAAAAAAAATGAATCGTCAATTATCCACAGTTCATTCGGACGATTTGTCATGTAGTATCAATAATTTCTGTTTATTGATACTGATCTAAGGATCGTTACAGAACAATTGAACCAGTACTGTAGATTTTTTATGCAGCTTCTCTCGGTCACAAAGATTATTGCAATGTAATAAAACTAATTTAAAAAAATATAAAAGAATTTATGGAGAGAGTCTAAGCTTGTTACATAGATCTAAAGTGGATACAACGATCCTATGATTTAATAATGAATTCTAATGATAACAACTTGAAACGAATCCTACGTTAGAATGGCTTTCCGCGCAGAATGCCAATTACGTAAAGAAAATAATCAAGTAATTGAATCAGTATGTTAAAAAATATATTATATATTAACGAATGATTCAAGCAACTATCAAGTGATAAAACTTTTCCAAATACTAATTTGGCAAAAGCTGATTAATTTAGCTGTAGATTTAACAAATTATTCTGGGAAAAATAAAGTCCACTTTTGGGTACGACTTGGTGAACAACTTTAAAAAATTGGCAATAGCCAATTGAAAAACGATTGAATCCTAATGACAAAAAAAGTACAAACACAAAAATGCAAAAGAATATGAAATTCAATTGAAAAAGCAAAAAAAAACGACGCTAAAAATAATGTTCGTGATGTCAAAAAAAGTTGCTGTCCACTTTGATTACGTCTTTTTCTCCTAAATGGAAAATATTATTATTATTATTATTATTATTATTATTATTATTATTATTATTTTCTTTCATTTGGAAATCCTAGTTTCTAGTCCATTAGCACTGTCGTACTTTTTCAAACACATAAAAGGTGATCTATAGCTGTATAATTGAAAGTAGAAAATATAAGGAAGTACTAAAGATAAAGAAATAATCATATATTCTAATGAAGAGGAGGGAAAAAACGAGTGGAAGAATGATTGGGCATGTCTGAACGGATTGAAAGAAAATCTTCAAGTTTCACAAATTAACTGCTACCATAAACAAAAAGTTGTTAGCTCAATTGGTTCAATTTCTTAGAATTTATTCCTCTTACCAAGCAGTTAACTCGTTTTAATTAATGATTAATTTCGGCCTTCCTGATGATAATATTATTAGAGAAACAATAAGCAAAAGAAAAAATTAAAATAATTTGGTATCCGATGTTGCCAGATTTTTCCCTTAGTACGTGATAAAGATGAAAAAAATTAAATACATAAATAAGAAATTGAATGGGGATAGTAGAAGTCTTATATGAAATGGATTATATTGAATAATATATGGATGTAAAATAACTATCTATGACAATGAATTTTGGTTATTTAAATGTTTTCATAGTGATTTGACATTTTTTTACATTGAACTTATATAGATAGAATCCGGCATTGAATATTCATTATTAAATGTCACTAAACGTTCAAACAAAGATGGTGAAAAGATTTGCTGCTATAAAAATCCCTTCCGATGTTTATCAAGAAGGTAATACTGAAAATACAACACACATCCTATAAGCAATTTTTATGGATATTATTTGTGAATTCAGTGGAATGAACAAGCGACGTTTTTCAATGGACTAGAAATTGGCTTGAGTCTATTGCACCGCTGAGACGAAAATTTCTCACACTTCTCCCAGTAAAAATATACATTAAGAACATTTTATGATGTAAATTGTGGTGGAGGCGAGCCTCAAAAATAGAGTTGAAGCCAAAAGCTCTTACTTGAATCAGAGAGAATTTAATTACTATGATTCTGTGGGAAGAGATGATGAAGAAGAACAAGCGTAGGGATATGTGTAACGTTGGACATGTATATATTTTACCTAGCGTATGAGCTGTAATTTCGTATCCCTGTGACGATGATTTTCATCTCATACTAGCTTGTATTCCTATCGGGAATTGCGTGACACGATGGCATCAAGGGGGAGGAGGAGGCCTTCCTGGGGCTAGAGAAAGGGCACTTGCGTGCCAAGAAGGGAGAAAATAAAAAGAAATGTGATTGCTTACCATAAAGTGGGGAAACGCGCTGGGCGGGAATAGTGAAAGGCAGAGAGGAATGATGCTCCCTTCTTTGGGGTGAATAAATATCGGTCAACTCTCAAGAGAGGAATTTTTCAATGAAAAACTCACCCCAAAGATTTGAAAAAAAGGCTTTTTTTATGTGTTGTTTTTCCTTTGGCTACTAGATTTGGATTTAGATTTGAAGAAAATTTCTACAAGTTCAAGTTTTCAAGTTTTCCACTGGAATCAACATTTTAAAACAGGGGAATCCCATTAATTAACCGCGACCATAGCTTCATTATGCATCAATAAAAATTATTGAACAATCGATTGATCGTTATTGAAGATATTCATTGAAAAGGCCACATGCCCTTGGCGATAAACCCCTAAACTAGGAAAATATTTATATGAGAATGGTTTTATCGACTTGGGATATTCAATTCACCTCTGTCATGTTGAGCTTCAAACCAGAGAATGTTCATTAAAATACGAATAGAGGGGCTGTCATTAGGCCAAAAAAGTAGGTAGAAATTAAACATGGAATGAGGAGAGTTTGCGCAATTCTCATAATAATTAATGAGGTCACACCGAGGGATGAGTGTGGCAGGGCATATCTCTCCCTCTCTCCGTACTGGGCTCACGAGGCCCATATGCGTGATTCAATCTCTCCTTTCGTAGCTCAATTGCAACGTTTTCATTTTTTTTTTCAATTTTTTTTTTTTTCATTTCTTGACACCTTGTACAAGCTCCGGAGCGTGCTCGACATCCCACACTTACAGTATTGCGGCTAATGGGTTGGCACTTGGATTCACTAGCGGTAGGACACACCGGCGGAGATACGGCTAATTGGGTGGGCCGCTATCGATGGGCTCTTTGTACTAAGGTAACTGTGCACTGTGAATATCTACCTACCTATACATTGCCATTTTGTCTCTTGTGGTTGATAATAATTGAGTTATTGGTCCCCGAGAGGTTACTGAGATACATCTATATCTATAATCCCTATAACTATGCTAAAACGTTTTTGCTCGACAAAAACAAAATGTGCAAATCATCATAACTATTTAAAAGAGCAATGAAAGAGATGCGATAAGTTGAATCAATGAATCTCTATGTATTTTTTGAAACGATTGTAAATAGTTACAATAGAATTGACTGATAAATAATGCAGCACTCACCGAGAAACTTGAGAAACTCGTTCCTTCTCTGGCGACTTTGCATAACATAATCCCGCTTCTCTAATTATCGATTCTCCAGCAGATTCAGTTGTCAATTTACCCTCGATTAGATCATGAAACTTCTGATAGTTCAATGTCAAGGAATCTCACCTCTCAATAACTCCATAGCAATTTGCTGAAGATTATTAGGAATATTTTCACTGAGGCGCGGATGTGGGAGAAAATCCGATAATACAATGAACCCAACTTATTAAATGGTTTTTTTTTGTTCCAAAAATTCTCTTCGTTATAAGCTCATTATAAATTCACATGTTTTTAAATCACATACACGTGTGATAGGACAGTTGTTACACCAAAACTACAAGCCAACGTTTTATAAGTTGAATCAGGCAAATTTACTTTGCTATAGAGTTTGCCTCTAATTCATGATTAAATCAAGGACTATTGACTGAACTACGGTAGTTGGGTGTGTAAATATTTCGGCTGGAAAAGGAAAAAAAAAGAAAAAAAAACAGTTTAAAAAACAAGAAATGTTGCCAAAAGGAGAGTAATTATATTGGGACATTAGAATGAAATACGGTTCAAGTAGCCAGAAATCAATTAGAAACCAGAGTGAGTACCCGCATTACGTCGATCGTACGCGTCACTAATTAATTCGATGCAGAGGCTACAGTTGTGCACAATTGTGTGCACATGCATGCGTTATGACTCAAGTATGCTGGTTAATTAACGATTCAGTCCAAGATATTTTAGTATATTTTGTGTGCACTATCGTAACGATGATGGCACTCGAATTCATTTTTTTCTCATGCAATATTGGACCTTGTCAATAAATATGGACCCAAAATGTGTGAAATAAATGCAACATTTCTTAAAATATTTTTTATTAATGTGCCTCGATCACATACCAGCGGCTTCAAATCAATGTTTCATATCAACTTTCTCATAATATCACTCTACGTGACACTAAAGATTCATCACAGTCATTCAATATACCGCGTTATGATTATTACATTCTTGACACGTATTTTCAATATACACTTCAATCATACATTCACAGATGCAAATATAACGTTTTCATTATTATTATTATTATTATTATTAATATTTTTTTTATCGAACATTTGCATCCCCAGACTTACTGACAAAAAACAAAAACATAATTTATCTCCAATATTGTTTATCAATGATGAATTATATAAAATAAAAATTTCTACCGTCTGTGAAATACAATTAATATTCCGATTGTTGAACAATTTTTCATTTCTCGTAGAATACTTTAAGACACCAAAGTCCCACAAATTGAATATTGTTTATGTACATACATTAGGTCACTAGTCACTTAGTTCCTAGATAGGTACCTATGTGTCTTTGAATGGCTCACACATATTTCTCTGTTTTCTTCATTAAATATTTGGAGAATCATACTCCCCATCGATTACGTTTCATCTTAGCGTTAATGATTGTTCTTCATTTTTGGTATTTTATTCGCATTTATTTTCAATGCAGCTATGTGAATAATGTGCGCATACTTCATTTTCTCACTCAACTAGCAATATACAATATCATGGTTCATGGTTTGCATCGCCACGAGGAATAAACACAACTCTTGTGTATATAAAAAATGTTGACGAAGCGTCTCTCATAACTCTTCATCTCGAAGATCAAATGAATGTTCAAGTTTCACTGATTCATCAATTAGTTTAGCTATTTCAATGATCCCTATAACGATACTTCCAATTTATATTTTATTATTTACAATAAATCCTTAATACCTAATTAACATCACCATCAGTATAATGATTTGTAAATATTCATTATGTACAAAATACCAAATCTACTAACAAAAAAAAACATTAACCCGTAAAATTAGCATTTTTTAAAATCTTCTCAATTGTGCAAACATTGTTGAAAAAAAACTGTGCTGAGAAGCTTGGTCATTTTTTCTTTAATTTATCATTATTTATACATGAATTTTTTTTTCTTTGGTTGGTTTGTAAGATAATTAATTAATGTAATTCCAATTCACCCTGTTTGCAATATTATTAGTGTGTGTGTGTGTGTGTGTGTGTGTTTGTTTTTGTTCATTATTTTTTATTTATACACCCGAAAACGAGAGAACGAGTCTCTGAGTAAATGCACTTGAACACTATTCGCAGGTGCAGGATTTTATCCTACCTCATCTCCATCATTGTGTATACTATTTTTTCCTTTGCTTGTTTTATTTACTTTTACTGCTGAGACATTGCCCGGCCATCGCCTATGTGCTCTCACCTTTTTCAGAAACGAGTATTGTAAGAATGGCTTTTGACACACTCATTCCTCCCTCCCCTCTAATACTCGGGGATGTTAGCCTCTATGGTGATTAGCAAACTGAACTTTGTTTAAATTAAATTTACTATGATAAATAAACATGTTTTTTTTTATCATAGAAAGAAAAAAAAAATAACAGAGATGGAGTAGATACACTGACACTTTCGATGGTTATAGATGTAATATTGATTTTTCTAATTTTAAACGTTTGACGAACTCTGGTTCCAAGGCTCTGCAGCACATTTTCGTGGGTGCTCGGGTCTCATCGGGGATATATTCTCGTCATAATTAATTAGCTACGGTGAAAATACACTTGTCTCTCTCCCCCGCTCCAACCCAAGCGGCATCAATCAGACTTTAGAAGTGCTTTTCAGGTATTTACAGATTTGAAAAAAGAAATGTCTAAGATTATTGAGTACAGTTGTTTTTTCACATGTCAACCTCATACACGCTGTAGTAAAATATAGCTGGATAAGAATTCTACGGCTCTCGGCCGCGTATATTAACACAAATTAGAAATGAAACAATGAATTGGCACAAATTTTTATTCAGGTTTTGTTTATTCATGAGAATTTTTCTTCAAATTAGTAAAATGTTTCTCCTTCAATGTTGACAATTTTTTAAAATCTTTTAACATGAATAAATAATTTATTTGATCGATAAGTTATAAATATTGAGTATTTTTAGAATTGTAAAAATATTAGATTGTCAGAATTGAAGGAAACATTTTTTCACTGATTTTTTTCAATGTGCAGCATTTGGAATATCTCATTTAGTTATCTTGTTGTTAATCAATATGGATATTTTTAAAAGAAGAGATGCAATATCATGACATTGGAAAATGTCTAGATGCAAGCCTCAATGTGGACGTTGGTCATTTCACTTGTTCGCAACTGATTGTTGACATGCAATTCTGATGATGCATTACTGTGCACAAGATCTTGCTTTCTGTGAACTTGTCTCAAATCACGTACTGGCGCAAGGGCTGCACAACAGCTCTCGAGTGTCTTACTGAACGCAGCACGAAATTCACGATTAAAATAAGCGTATATCAGAGGATTGAGTGCGCTATTGAAGTAGCCAACCCAAAAAACAGCGCCAACTACGCTTGCACTGGTCTCACAGGTGTCACAGAGGGATGTAATTATGTACCTGTAAATTAAAAGTCCATAAAATTGCCATTATTATACTTGAATTACGCGTAAATAGGCAACTTTATTACTGGCATTATCGCTAATAAATAGAACAAGACCATTATGAAAAAAATTATATATGGAAAAAATAGATGAGACGTAGGTTGAAACTCCAATTAAGTATGAAATTCCTCAAACAACAACAAAACAAAAAAAATCCATTATTCTTTCAGAAATTTGAAACTACAGTTGGAGGCAAGTTCAAACCGTTGAAAAATCATTTTATTTCTAGTAAATGTGTATGTACTGACTCTATAAACTGGGTCATGTTTATACATATATGTATATATATATATATATATTTTTTTTTTTTTCCCCCACTTGAAGTATCGTTTTATTCTCCATTTCCTTTCTACTGTTTTTGTTCCCCTCCATAGAGAATCGCCCAGCTGGTACATTGCATGCGCATTCTTATGCATCATAGAATTTTTCATTGCTGTTGTATTTTCACTATTGAGACCCACGCATTTCGATATTCGCTCTGTCTCTGTCTGTCTCTCTCTCTCTCTCTCTCTCTCTCTCTCTCTCTCTCTCTCTCTCTCTCTCTCTCTCTCTCTCTCTCTCTCTCTCTCTCTCTCTCTCTCTCTCTCTCTCTCTCTCTCTCTCTCTCTCTCTCTCTCTCTCTCTCTCTCTCTCTCTCTCTCTCTCTCTCTCTCTCTCTCTCTCTCTCGCTATTTCAGTCTTCAGGCTCCAAGGAATGAAATATCCACAAGAATAGACCTTTCCTTCTTTTATTTCTCCCTGCATTAGGATTTTATTTCATTTTTGTTTTTTTTTTCAATTCTTTTTTCTTCATTCCGAAAACCCCATCCAGTCATGCGAATGTTTTTTTCCCCTTTCCCTCAATGATTACACGATACTGCAAAAACATGTGCTTACACGTAATGTCCGCGCCGCCTAAGCGGTTGTTTTTTTATGCCTTTTGAGGATAATCGTATATTAATAACCAACTGCACAGGTCCATATAAGTAAACTTTTCCTCTAATTTTGCCACTGGAGAATCGATCAAGTATTACAACGTGTGTGTAGGCGTCTAGGGTCATCCGTCTTAATTAGAAGATAAGGGGAAGCAGAGAGTTAAGAGAGGTACTGTGATGAGTAAGATACGTGTAACAAAAGGCTGGAGGCGATTTCGATCTTCCCGAGGCAATCAAGAAAAGCACTTAGTTAGTGAACGTTTCTTTTTTCATTCCCCAGTATCCACTTGTTATTTCACTCTTCAAGTAATAAGAAATATTTCTCAGAAATAGTACTTGGTTGCAACCAACACGAAAACATTTCATGAAATGAGATCCTCCTCTCGGCGACAATTCTTGCTTTGATAAGTTTTCTGATAACTCGAGGTGCTTTCTATCGTCGTGAAATGAAGAAAAAAAAATGTAGGATTGAAAAGGAAAAAAAATCATTCCTCTTGTACTATACGAAATGAGTTGATATTGAGTTGGTAGATCGGGCAAAGTTGGAGACACTGTCACCATGCGAAGTTTATATCCTCTTCAGTGATATACTATATATAAGTAATAAAGACGTGACTCCTCCATGGTCACAAGGTAAATTAAAGAGGTGAAAAAGAAAAAAAAACAAATAGTTTTCCTTTTCGATAAGGAATGATCTCTTGATGGGGTACTTCGAGCCAAGTATTTGGGTCGAGGGAATGGATTCTCGATCTCATTGGATAGCTAGGAAGTGAAGAAGGTCAAGGGTTGACAGAGATGAGGGATGCGGACAAAAGTATTGGCTCACAGTTGATATGAACAATACCCATCGCGAATAAGAGATTATGTTTAATGTAGATAAAATTAAAATGTGTGGGCAAGTGGACAATGTTACTACAAACTTGAACGAAAAATTTTTCTTCACCATAAGTATTTTTTGACAAGACCAAATATAAAATGAATCATACATCGACATGAAGAGAAAAAACATTGAGATTTTAATATTTTTGTAATTTCTTTATTTATTTATTTATTGCATTAGCCTAACCGACGTTGCAGGTATTTTGAAAAAAGGCAAAAAAACTGATAAATGTCTGGTTTTCCATTCCGTTTTTTATTGCAAATTTGGCAAATTAATTATCTTATGGTTTCATCATCTTTCTTTGTTTTTTGCAGAATTGAATGAACCATTGGGATAGATGAGGACAATATCCAAAAAAAAAAAATATATATATATGTATATATATATATATCTATGCGATATTTCTAATTGCATCGGCATTAGGTATCTTGAGGAAAGCCTTTCTTTCTCTGACGTCGTCCTCGACTAAGGCGTAATTCGACCGCGTAAAATTGGGTCTTTCATCTCTCTTTCTCCCTCTTCAGCGAGCGAGATTGAAAGAATTTGGTAGAATTTTCACTCAAGAGGAATAAATTATTATATGGCAATTGGGATATTGGAAATCGGCCAATTGGGAAAAGGAAAATTTTTGTCTGCAGGGGTAAAGTCGATTGGTAAACGTCGTCGAATGTAGGTCTACATGTTTCAAGATTACACTTGACACACACCCTGAATGGTTTGTATCGAGTCGACAGCTTCGCCCGCGCCTGGTCCATGCTCAAGATAACTTCTAGTAGTACTCGAATCGTTGAAAACTATCGACCGTGACGCAAAGTGGAAGCTAGTCTATACTTTTTCCACATACAGTTGCAACATCAATCTATGGTAGACTCTTGGGAGTCTATCCTAATATATTGTACAGAATATCTAGTGTCTTCTCGAGTGCTGCTCAGGGTTGCGATATGTATAAACTACTTGCACAGTAGGTTTACATATATTGTTGATTCACTTTGGAATAACAATTGATGGCTTGCTTTGCCATCAATTGAGGCGTGAAAATGTAGTCAGGATGACAGGAGAATGTGAGAATGTTGATTACCAGAGGAAGAATGGCAGCCAGCATGTCAAAAATGCCGACATGATGATCCCGAGAGTCCTGGCAGCCTTTCTCTCTCGTTTCATTTTGCTGCTACTGGCGATCTGTGGTTCCTCTGGTTGTGGCTCTGGGGGGGGTTGGTCGGGCGGTGGGAGTCCCGCTAGGCCCGCTGATATGCCGTTTATTTGGAGATGCTTATTGAGCAGTGCAGCTGCTACTTTACTTCTGAAATAACGGAAAAATAACAAGAGATGAGGAAAAATTAGCAAAATTAGTTGATTAGTTCTCGGAAATAATTCCGAGGATATTCAAATAATCTCTTCATTACTATTGAACAATAATAAATTCATCCATCTATACATATATATATATATATATATATATATATATATATATATATATATATACACATATATTTATTATTAAAAATAATTTAATGGTATCTGATGTCATAATTGGTCGATATAATATGGCCTGACCCATTACCTATTGACGCTTCGTTCAACAACCAGCGGAGGTATTTTCCTTTATTAAGGTGTTATTTTCTACCTGTACATGGAGATTAGTGTTGCAAAGTTGATATTAACCCTGACATTGCCGCGAACTTGTGTGGCTTCTGAATAATTGAAAGTAAGGTCGCCCTCTGGTGTGAGTGCGTCTTACTGAATGCCAGTAGTACTTGTCCGCGCTTGGGTCGGACTTTAGCCTTTCCATACGCATTATTCCAACTATTATGATATTTAAATGTAGCCCCTCCCCCGCTTCCCAGTCATCAATACACTCCCCAATCGATCCAATCCAAGAATAAACTACTGATCCAAGTTATATTTCACTAGATCGACACAGTGACCGATTAAAACTACACAGAGGAAAAAAAGATGACAGTGCAAGGGGCCATTGAATTACACACGTATATTAAGAAAACTGTAAATGAACAGAGATCAGTCTACAAAGTGTTGGTATACGTGTGTGCGCTTCATACTGAAAATGGCCTTCTTGAATATTCTATAAAAACACCCCCAGCTGTTTACTGGCTTTTCTTCAAAAGCCCGTGTCTCCTTTCTTTGCCCCATTTTTACCGAAAAAAAAGATGATTCAATGATTTATTTGCCGATAATAAATGACTATTAAAAGGTTTCAAACCCTAATGAACCTAATGATGATTTTGATATTTTCACAGCTGAGATTTAAATTAGACTTGTATTTTTTTTTTTTTTTTTTTTTGAGAAATGGGAAGGCATGATCAATACCCCATTTCAAAAAATAATAATCATCATTAATGTTCACAATTGCGAATTTTTCATAATCAAATGTTACAAGTTCATCTGATATACGTGTCAATGGATTTTCCATTGACCGAATAAATTTGAATGTCGATAAGACACACTGTTTCACTGCCTGTATTGATATCGTATTGGTGATATGTTTTGTTCATGTTTTTTTTTTCTTTTTCAGCAATTGGGGATAATTTTTTTGTCTTCAACTCCGTTGATTTCACAAGTTGGATAAATGCCAGAATGTTTTTTCGTCAGAACGACGAGGCTACCTTGTCGTTGTTGTTGTTGTTTCTTTTTTCAATCTTTTCATTTTCAATTTTTCCGTTCGCATATAATTCCCGCAGGAAATGCAGAAGTAGTATCGCTGCAATTGGAAAGATATTTGATGAGAGTTCGAGATAACGGAATGGAAAACATATTTCGAGCTGCTGTCGTTGATGAAGCAGCTTTTTTCTCATCCCTTGAAATGCATGATAACCCATTTTGAGAACCACTGCTGACTCACATCGTAGTTTAAAATTCCACAAAAGTGCAGATTTACCGTGGTGTCTATTATTTTCCTTATTTCTCCGGGATTCTAAAAATAAAATTGGTCGAATTCAACAGCGATTCTACATACCTGAAAGAGAATGTACTGGTGTGTCATCCAAAGCTACAATAACGTGATGTGTTTGCGATTATAAAGTCACATTAATTTTGTTCAAGTTATTGCAAAACTATCCTCAACTCGTTTAATTTTTGCTCTCATGGTAGTGAGGCTTGATATCTCCATTATTTCAAATAAATTTTTCATAAATTGAAAATTTTCATTGAGATAATTTTTTTGTTTATTCCACAATTAAAAAATATTAAATTTATTCTTTCAATTTGTCTTAACGATAATTGTAATAAACCGAGCGGAAAGAATTTAAATTAATTAATTGTCAATCTCGGGAGACCAATAATAGAATGCCTGTTGTTTACATAACGTTGTACCAAATTTGAACATTAAACACTATGTACTGACGTAGCCCAAAATCCCATATTGCCCTCGTGGTCAGCCGCATCGACCGCACGGCAGTCCTTCCCTTATATTGCCGCTTACTACCGTTGTAATGCACTCGTCGTACCACCACCTTTGGCTTTGTGAGCCACCGAGTTCTCTGAGCTTTGCCTACCTACGCTTTTAGCTATTCAAATAGCTATGGAACGCCTAACCCTGACTTTTTATTGTTCATTTTCATTGATTTTTTTTTCTTCTCATGTTGTTGTTCCTTGGAATATTAGAGAAGTAAGTAGAGAAACTTTGTTTCATTTCCATCTAGTATGTTTCACATGACACCAGCAGTTGAAATTTTTTTTTTAATTCTCAACGGACCACTTGCAATTCCAGTATTGAAAAAAAGGGCAAAGAGAAGAAATATATGTAATTCATTGATTAAAAAAAAAATTCAAATGGTTGTGCGATTTTTTAATTTATTATTTGGATATTTTTGGGAACACTCTATTATGAACAATAAAAAAATTCCTAGAAGCGTATCAATTAATCATTGTTTGTAATAATGGGCTATATGGAACACACCTCTTATTTCTCTATAAATAAAAAATATTAAGCACAATACGATCAATATCCTTCCGTATTTTTTATTCATGAAGTTGAGACAATCAATCACTTGGCTTTCATCACACGATCTCACACTATCAGAGTCTGAGTAATGGATGAATGTGCGGGGGGTTTTTCAAAGATCGGGCAAACACGCATAGCTGTTACTAGGCATTCTGTCTGAGATTTTGGGACGGAAAGAAAAAGTTGACAAAGAAATGAGACATCGCGTCTGAGAAGCTCAAGTTATTTTTATTGTCTCGTGGGTAGTATTGGGGGAGTCAAAGACGAAATAAATGGCAAACTTTTAGGGATTTCTTGTGTGCTTGTAACGGAATGGAAAAATAGGGGAGTTATCTTATAGGTTTTCACCTTGGCGACTCGCAACCAGTCTCAGAAAAGTGCGTTCCCTTTGCCCTTTGAAACTTTTATTGATTATCCTCCAGAGATTTACCATGAGAATCAATGGAATGGTGAATTAGGCACAAAGACAGTGAAACAGTTTTAGGAACTCAAAATTTACATTATATATTTTGTTGAGAACGTTGAACCTTATATTTGAGAGATGTTGCCATAAAATCGTGCGTAAAATTGAAAGAAAAAAACAACAACAACAAATGGCAGTGAGTCATTTCAATGTATACTGATTGACTTCAATCAATATTTGCACGATGAATGGTAATCAAGAGAAGATCAATGTATTCGCTTGGAATTGGAGTCGTTTTCACAGTGTTCTCCTCCAATCATAAAAATCAACATTTTATCTGTTGATAGAATCTCTAGAATTTCCATCAATTATAAGCTTATATTCACAAGAGGGAGACTGCTTGATGTTTAGATATGGAAAAAAATTTCATTACTCGGACTGTCCATTCATAAAAAGACATTTTCTTTTTTTTCCGTCTTGGCATTGAACTTACACACTCGTATTTACTTCACTTTGTCTACGTCACGTAGGACTCGTCCGTTCCCGTTTATTATGCTCATGCGGGCATCGATCGGTCTTCGTTGGTCGGCAGCGTGTATTTTTAATAGAAATTACCTCCTCCCGTTAACCTATAAATGACCAGCCGTGTGTCACCCTGTTCTTGCCAAAGATAGTAACGATCCTTTTTTTTTTTTTTTTTTTTTCGAC